ACAGATCCTATGCTTCTCCCCAGGGTTGGAGTTGTGAGTCCAGTGGTTCATCCTGGCATAGGTTGTCTTACCATGGCGTTGAGGTGGGTGCTGTAGCCTGGCCTGGCCTTGCCTAGCCCCAGTTCCAGCTCATGCTGTTGGTTGTTGCAATCTAGCTAAACCTTGAATGCCCCAAGTTCCAGACCTAATATGAGCTGAGTGGTGCTGCGACCCAACCTGGCCTGTCCTACAACCTGTCATGGTTCTCATATCTGCCAATAGGTGTTATAAACTGGCCTAGCCTGACCTGCCCCAGACCTGAGCCACATGTATACCAGTACGTACTGTAACCTGACCTGATCTGGGCTGTTTTCATCCCTGGTTCTTGCATTCACCTGCAGGAACTACATCCTGATGGAAGAGTTCCCCAAGCTCCTCGTTCAGGCCACCTTCCAGTGTCAGATCTCACATACACTGGTGGGTATTTAGCCCAGCCTGACTTGGCCAACTCCTGTCTTCATATGAATAGCAGCCATGCCCACCTGACCTACACTTATTCCAGTTCGTACTGTTGGGTGCTGCAGCCCAGCCATGCCTGTCTACTCCCATACCCAGCTCTTACTTGGTTTAGCAGGGGGAGAAAAGTAGCCCAGCCCATCCTACACTCACCTTGACTCTTAGGAGCACTAGTGGATGCTGGAGTCTAGTCCAGTTTGGCAAACCCATGACCTAGTCCACATCCGTGCCAAGGTATACTGCAGTCATGTCCAGCCCTGGTTCACCACACCCATTCTGATTCTCGCACCTGCCAGTGGGAACCACACCCAAGCTGGGATATCTCCTTAGCTTCCCTACCAGGCCCGCTCCCGGATACAGATGTTCTATCTCAGACTTGTATAGCTCATCCCCCATTTTGGGCTTTATTGTCTAATGCTGCAGCCTGGTCTGGCTCGGCTTGTCCCCAGTCCCAGATCTCATTGGTGGGTGCTGAAACCTAGCTCATCCCTGGCTTTCATGCATACCTGTAGGTGTGGTGTCCTCCCATAGCATGACCCACACTCAATCCTGGCTCCTGCACATGTCAGTTGGATAAGCTTGGCCTGGCACTGCCTGGTCTGCTTCCACCAGAACTAACTCACTTGCTGACGTGTAAAGCTGCCTTACCTGGTCTGACCAACACCCAGGCCTGAATCACATGCTCATCCGGAACGAGCTACGGTCCTCCAGGGCAGTTCCCTAAGATCCTCCACCAGGCCCACTCCCAGACCCAGATCTCACATGTGCCAGTGGGTACTGGGCCCTCACCCAGCATAGTCTGCCTACTCTGTCTAAGCTTTTGTGGGAGCTGATGGATGTTGCAGCCTGGCCTGCCCCCGACCCTATTCCTGGGTGTGCCTGTGCGTGCCTGTGCGTGCTACAGCCTGAACCAGCCCAATCTGTTCCCAGCCTCAGGACCCATGAATATCTTGAGATTCCATGGTCCTGCCTACCTCAGCCCGTCACTACCTGCAGCATTTGAGCAAACCAGTGGACATTGCAATTTCACAGGAGAGAGTCCACATATCCCCTATGGAATGCCCCCAGACGTGGTTTTCTTGCATGCTGAATAGTGTTGAGACCCAGTCTAACATGATCTGTCCCCTGTTCTGACACTCACTAGTGGGTACTATGATTTAGCCCTGCCAGGTAGGCCCCCAGTGTGTTGGTGGTTGGTGGTGGTTGAAGCTAACTATCCCAGCTGAGGTCTCCCATGTGGCCAGTACATCGGTCTGACCCAGAAAGGTCCTCCAGCTCCCGCCTCCAAACTGCTTGACCTTAGCCCTCTCGCTTACCTGCAAGTACAGTGGCCTTGTCAGTAGCAGTCTTCCAGCAGTCATTCCTCATCTGCAGCATATTTCCTCATTGGTCTTCCCTCTCATACCATCCTCTACCCCCTTCCCTGAACAATCCATTATCCCTGCACCTGGGAGCGCATGGGCTCTCCAGCCCAGGCTTCCCTAATGTCTTCCAGTGGAGTAGCATGCTGGCATGGGGCTCTGTCTGCCCTCCAGGGACCTAAGCTCCTGGCATGTGTGCTGGTCTGCTGTATCCCTCTACCCACCCAAGATCCAGGCACGGTTACCGTTCCTCAAGCCCAGTCTACCGGCACATCATGTCAGCATTGCTAATCTAGGGCTCTCCTCCCACATTCTGCCTGGGATCAGGCAGGTTTGGAAATCCCCAGGCTCACTTTGCCTGCCTGGGTGGGAGTCCCCAGGTCCCTGAACGCCTTCCCAGGCAGCATCCTCCAGGCCCCTGTGAGAAGTCTGGCTGTCTTGCTGGCTGAGAGATCTCCTTCCTAATGTTTTACTTCCCAATTGCTGCAGCTGGGATATGACCAGGCCAAAGTAGCTGAGGACTCAGTCTTGGTTTGACACATGGGTGACTGGGAACCAACTACTTAAGGTGTTACCTACTGCTTCCGGTGTGTACATTAACATGAGGCTGGAATTGAGAGCCAAGCCAGAATTTAAATCCATTCACTGTGATAGAGAGTAAGGGCATCCCAAGAGGCATCTCTGTTACTCAGCCAAGTGTCTGCCTGCTGTTTATTTTTTATTTATTTTTAATTTTTTAAAATTTTTTTAAATTTTTTTTAAAGATTTATTTTTATTATATTTTTTATTGGAAAGGCGGATATATCGAGAGGAGAGACAGAGAGGAAGATCTTCCGTCCGATGATTCACTCCCCAAGTGAGCGCAACGGCCAATGCTATGCCGATCTGAAGCCAGGAGCCTCTTCTAGGTCTCCCACGTGGGTGCAGGGTCCCAAAGCTTTCGGCCGTCCTTGACTGCTTTCCCAGGCCACAGGCAGGGAGCTGGAAGGGAAGCGGGGCTGCCGGGATAGAACCGGCGCCCATATGGGATCCCGGGCGTGCAAGGCGAGGACTTAACCACTTGCGCCACTGCGCCGGGCCCTTATTTATTTTTTAAAAGATTTATGTATTTTATTGCAAAGTCATATATAGAGAGAGGAGGAGAAACAGAGTAAGATTTTCCGCTGGTTCATTCCCCAAGTGATTGCAACTGCTAGAACTGAGCCGATCCAAAGCCAGGAGTCAGGAACTTCTTCCAGGTCTCCCAAGCAGGTGCAGGATCCAAGGCTTTGGGCTGTCCTCAACTGCAGGGAGCTGGATGGGAAGAGGGGCTGGTGGGATTAGAGCCAGTGCCCACATGGGATTCCGGCACGTTCAAGGTGAGGATTTCAGCTGGTAGGCCACTGCTTCGGGCCCTGTTTATTTTTAAATTTAGCCCCTTCCTTAGGGGCTAGCTTTGTAGCATACTGGGCTCAGCCATTACCTGCAATAATGGCACCCCCTATTCCTGATCCAGTGCCATTAATGTGTCTAGGAAAGCAGTGAAAGATGGTTTCAGTGCTTGGATCTGTCACCTTTATGGGAGACCTGGATACAGTTCCAGGTCCTTGACCTTGACCTGGCTCAGTCCCAACCATTGCCAAATACTTGGGGAGTGAACCAGCGGATGGAAGACCTCGCTCTCTTTGTGTCTCTCCCTCTCTGTTTTTGTAACTCTGCCTTCTTAAAATTCTGTAAACCTTCTTCAAAAAAAAAATAATAAGCAAAAACTAAGAACTGAAAATGTTTTTTTTTAAGTCTTTCATTCATCACTGCTTATTTCCTAAATATTTTTTTTCCCATGTAAAGACTGGATGAATCAACCTGCAGTTGTCAACTTGTATGTTTATCTGTGTGTGAGTTATTTTTATACCATGGTTTAATTGCCTTTTTTTTTTTAAGAAAAAAAATCATTTATTTGAATTACAGAGAGCAAGGAAGAGTGACAACTCTTCTATCCTTTCTCCCCAAATGGTCACAATGATCGGAGCTGGGTCAGGCTGAAGCTAGGAGCCAGGAACTTCCTTCGGGTTTCCTATGTGGAAATATGGGCCCAAGGAGTTGGGCCCTCCTCTGCTGCTTTCTCAGGCATGTAAACAGGAAGCTGCATCAGAAATGGAGCAGCTGGAGCTTGAACAGGAGCCTGCATGGAATGCTGGCACTGCAAAGTAACAGCTAAATCCCTATACCACAGTGCCAGCTCCAAATTGTGGGTTTTTTTTTTAATAACAAGTATTTGTTTGTTATCATTCTGTAATTTTCAGGTGCTCATTTGTGTTATGCTGTGGTGGGAAGTATTGAGAATATGTCAAAGACCGTCTACTGTTTTAGAGCTTATATAAATCTGAACTTTTTGAAATGAGTTCTATTAGAGAGTATGATAGCAAGAAATCCAAATTAGTTTTGATAGAAAGTCAGCACTTCCTGATTAGAATTAAGTCAGAAGAAAATTTTTTGATTCAGCATTATGCCTTTATTTGCCTGCTTAGAAAAATACATACTCCTTTGTATCTAACACGGTAAACTTAGCTGCCAACGTGTAAGAAGTCATTCATAATTATTACAATAGTAATGATAATAAGCGGCTGTTTACTTCATGTTTGTAGAATTTTTTACATCTCTGAATTCCTGGAATTAAGGGTTTTTTTTTTTAAAGCTTTATTTTTATTTATCTGAAAGACAGAATTAACAGCGACAGGGAGAGAGAGTAAGCCAGATGACCACAGCATTTAGAGCTGGGCCCAAGCCAGGAGTTGCTTCCATGTCTGCTGTGTGAGTGCAGGGACCCGTGTGCTTAGTGCCTCCCACTGCTTTCCCAGGTTTGTTACCAGGGAGCTGGGTCAAGAATGGAGCTGGCAGGACATGAACGGGCACTCGGGCCTCACAAGTGGTAGCCTAACCTGTTGTATCATAGTGATGGCCCTGGAACTGAATTTCTATAAAATATTGCTTAAAATTATTATTCTGGTCATGTAGTGATTTCTGCAAATGAAGTTACTTTAAGAAATATCTATGAATTGAATTATATCGTCCTGCAGAAAAAAGAGGCTTTGAAATTTGTAAAATTGCTGTTTTTAATATTTGTGATTTTATATTTATAATTGCTTATATTTCTCTAAATATTAGGTATTGACTCCACAAAAACTGGAATTGTTAAGAACTGAAATACAGCAAGAATTGGAGACTCCAATGAGAGAACGTTTTCGGACTCTGGATGAAGTAAGTAATTTGTCTAGGAGAACTGTGTGTTTATCCTTAAGTGTCTGTGAAAGTCTTGATGGAAAGTACCATTCTTTGGTTCAAAACCCTGCAACGTTCCCCCTTACAGCCCAGTGCCACTAAGGCCTCACAGGAGTGGACTTCGTTACTTGTTGGAGCTCCTTGTTTCAATCTGTACTGGTCTCCTGCTGTCCTTTGGTATTTCCAAAGTGCTGCAGTTGTAGATTCCTAGCTCTACAATCACATGGGCCTTCCATAATCTCCTGCTAGCCCTTGGCTAATCTCCTGTTAGTTTATTAAAATATCAATGTTCTCAAGGATGCCATTTTCCTATTTATTTTATTTATGTATTTTCAAAGATTTATTGGAAAGACAGATTTACAGAGAACAGTAGAAACAGAGAAGTGTCTCCAATTAGCTGGTACATTCCCCAAATGCCTACAGTGGCTGCAGCTGAAGTAGTCTGAAGCCAGGAGCCAGGAGCCAGGAACTTCTTTGAGGTCTCCCACACGGGTGTAGCTTCCCAAGGCTTTGACCATTCTCTGCTGCTTTCCCAGGCTATAAGCAGGGAGCTGGATGGGAAGTGGAGTATCTGGGACATGAATTGGTGCCCACACTTGCAGGAGGAGGGTAAGGCAGTTGAGTCATTGTAATGGACCCCTATTTCCCTATTTAATATGGTACTACTATTTTTTTTCGTATCCTTACTTAAAACATTGGATCTCTCTTAACTCAGTGTATTTCTTATTTTCTTTCTGGTATACACTGCCTTCTTTGTGTCCTTTTTTCTTCTTTTATGTAGATCTAATTAGTTTTATTGAAAAGGTAGATCGATAGAGAGGAAGGGAGAGAAAAATCTTCCATCTGTTGATTCACTTTCCAAACGGTCACAACAGGCAGAGGTGAGCTGATCCAAAACCAGCATCCAGGAAGCCCCTCTTAGTTTCCCATGCCAGTGGAGGGGCCCAAGGCTTTGGACCATGCTCGACTGCTTTTCCAGGTCACAAGCAGGCAGCTGGGTGGGAAGTGGAGCAGCAGGACACAAACTGGCACCCATATGGGATGCCAGCCTTTGCAGGCGAAGGATTAGCCAGTTAAGCCATTGAGCTGGTCCCCATACCATTTTCTAATATGCTGTAAGGAGGTACTTTAAAAACTACATGGGAAATGGAAAAATAAATTGAACTCCATATGCATTTGAGGAGTCTTTTCAAAGTTTGTGGAAAGCACACACACAAAAAGCTGTACCTCAATTTAAAATTGTTTTCTGTCAGTCAAAGGAAAATATGTTGTTAATAAAACCCTGAAATCCATTTTTTTTCTTAGAAAACGTTAAGGTAAAGAATAACTGAGCTGAGTACTTTAGGAAGCGTGCCTTCCCTGTGAAGTAGTTTCCTTACGCTGGTTGAAGATCCCTGCATCCTTCTGCCCTGATGCTTGTTGTGTTGAGGATTCAGCACACCAGTATCTTTTGCAGAGCGTTAGGAAACAGGATGGAACACCACAGGGAATTGTACATGCTCCCAGTTTGTCAGGAAAGATGGCACCACAGACATTCTTGAGGCTGATATGTTGAGTTAAATTTTCATTGTAATACTTGATTGAATTTTAAGTGATTGTATTAAATATTCAAATACTTTTACCTACTTAGAATTCATCTGGTAAAATTTCTTTTTTCTTTTTTTGTTTAATTTCAAAGTAAACATTTCTGTTTCTCAGTTTTTTATTATTTAGAAAGCAGAGACACAATCATTTCACACTCACTGGTTTACTCTTCAGATAACCTCCAGCAGTAGGTCTAGGCCAGACTCAAGCCAGCAACCTAGAGGTCAGCCTGGATTTGCCACTGCATGCTGAGGTAGTTGAGCCATCCTCACTTGTTGCCTCCCAAGGTGTGCATTAACCAGATGTTGGAACTGAAAGTGCCCTCTGACATGGGATTGTGGGTGTCCCAGCTGGTGGCCTAACTGATGGGCCCAGGGCTCATGCCTTATCCAACTCCAAAAGACAGTGAAAACTAGCTCTATTTTAAAACATGTGTTTCATTTTAAATGTTTTCTTACGGCCGGAGGTCAAAGCTTTTGTTATGTTGTAGTTTTATTATAATGAGAATCAGTGAAGAAATATTAATTGAATGATAATTTGTGTGTACATTCTTCAGTATATACTGCTTCTGTATGTGGGATATTATGAAAGCCTTCCTGAAGTATGCTTATTTTTTTGTTAATTTTTTTTTTTTACTTTTTATCATGACTTTTAGTATTCTGTAATTTAAAATTACGTTTGTCAAAGGGAGTTTTGGAGTGTATATAAATTAATTTATAAGTAAGTCATAAAATGCCATCCTCTTTTAATTTAGGAAGTAGAGAAGTACAGAGCTGAATATAATAAACTTCGCTATGAACATACATTTCTGAAATCAGAGTTTGAACACCAGAAAGAAGAGTTTGCACGTATTTTAGAAGAGGAAAAAATTAAATATGAGTCAGAGGTAAGTGATTGATTATACAAATTCATTATATTGTTGATAACATTATATAACCTTGTATATCCCAAGTTTGAGTTGATTACATAATTAAATTGTAATAATTGATGACATATATATGGTGACAGGGAAAGGTAAAGAATCTTTCATCTGCTTGACTCCCCGGATGGTTGTAACAGCTGGAGCTGGGCCAAGCTGAAGCCAAGAGGCTAGAACTCTGTTCAGGTTTCCCACATAGGTTGTTAGGGTGCAGGAATTTGGTCTGTCTTCTGCTGCTTCCCCAGCTGTGTTAGCAGGCTGGATTGGAAACAGAGCAGTTGGGACTGGAACTGACATTCCAGTATGGGATGCCAGCATCTCAAGCAATTTCAAAACTGGCTGCACCATAAATGTGGTCCTGTTCATTTACTCTTTATCAACAGTTTTCTTGTGTGTGTGTTTTTCTGCAACTTAGATTTTTCTTTTTCTTTTATCTTTTATTGTGGCCCAAACAAGATAGGCAGTGTTTGAGGTTTGCATTGTATAAAGGACCTTGTCTCTCATAGCCATTGAGGTGGGTTCTTCTCTGCCAATGTGAATGTAGTTTGTATGATTCCTTCTTAGTACTGTCCCTTCTGCTTCTTAGAACCAGACCACATCCAGGAGAGTTCCAGCTGTGAGCCGAGCAACCTCTCCCATTGATATAAATAAGGGCTTCCTACCGTGGCTTGTGCCCATTACCTTCAAGACTTTTTATTCTTTCTGATGTCTGCAGCATTAGTATTTCAGTCTGCTTAGAGCATGTCTTCTACTTCAATCTCTTTTGTTTTTGGCAGCTTTTCTACTCATTTTGTGGTTTGTTTCCTGGTCTTACTAAAGATGGAGTTTTGTTTATTTCTTTTCTCAATGGTTTTGTCTGATTTTTTTCGGGATGAAAAAGGAGAAACATCAGTTTTATCCTGTCACACTGATAAATACATTGCTCAGTGCCAGTAGTAGTTCTCTGAGACCTTATGCCTTTTGTATTTATTGCATTGTCTTTATTTGATGTTAAGAGTGAAAAAAAAAAGTTTTTCCTTTCTTTTTTTTATTATTATTTTTTTTATTGTTATTAACATTGTATTATGTGATACAGTTTTATAGGCACTGGGGATTCTCCCCACCCCTCCCATACCCCTCCCCCCATAGTGGATTCCTCCACCTTGCTGCATAACCACAGTTCAATTTCAGTTGAGATTCCTTCATTGCAAGCATATACCTAGCATAAAGTCCAGCGTCTTATTGTCCAGATAAGTTCAGTGGCCTCTTGGGGAGACCTTCTCTGGTCTGAAGGTAGAGCTAACAGAGTAAAGATCCGGTCAGTTAAAAGCCCCAACAAAACCTCAGCATCAATATACAACATTATGGAATTAATTGACATAGTATTGAGTAAACAATATGTTAAAAATAATGCAAGTTCAATTCTTCCAAACACCTGGGTTGAGACAGTATCAATGACAGGTTCAAAAAGTAACAAACAACCAAACAAAAATTACAGGTTAAATCAAGGCAAACATGTAGTATCTAACCTTTTGGGATTTGCTCATTTCCCTTAGCATTATAGTTTCCAGTTGGGCCCATTTAGCCAGTTTTTCCTTTCTTTACCAGTTACTAGATGTTTATAATGTTATAGGCATCCAATTCGAAACTACAACTGCGCTATTTTTGTATTTGCTTTCGTCATCGATGAGTGGATATTTCGTTTGTTTCTATATCTCAACTTTTGTGGATAGTGGTGCGATCCCCACTATGAGCACACGTTTGCCGTTAGTATACTGGTTTCAGTTCTTTGAGATATATACCTGGTTAAAGAATTGATGGAGCATTTGATAATTCTTTGAATTTTTGAGAAACTTAGGCATTTTTTCCCATAAAATGTGTGCTTGTTTACCTTCCACCATACTGTGTAAGAGTTGTTCCCTCTCCTTCCTTACCAGTATCTGTTTTTTGTCTTTTTTATAATAACCATTCTAACTGGAGAGAGGTGTCTTAGTTTTTATTTTTATGTTTAATTGTGTATTTATTTGAAAGGAGAAACACATGACAAAGAGGAGATGGAGAGAGATCTCTCATTTGCTGGTTTGTATCTCCAGTGCCTGCAGTAGCCTGGGCTGGGCTGGGCTAGGCTGAAGCCTTGAGCCAGGAGCTCAGTTGCAGATGGATGGCAGGAACTACTTGAGCCATTGCTGGCTGCATTAGCAACGAGCTGGAGACAGCAGCCAGAGCTTCATATATCTTTTGACTGTGTGTTCTTCTTTGATAAATATTTAAGTCATTTGCCCATATTTCAAATGAATTGTTTTGTGGATTTGTTTGTTTTCTTGTTGGATTCATTGTATATCCTGCAGAATAATCCCTTGTCAGAAAATTGGCAAGTATTTTTCTCCCGTTTTGTGGGTTCTGTGTGCAATGGATGTGTCTGGAGGAATTCCTCTTTTGTTTTGGTGATTTCATGTCTTACAAGTGTCTTATGCACCCAGTGTGACAGTCTAGTGGCTAAATCCTTGCTTTTGCAACTGCCGACATCCCATATGGTTGCCGGTTCATATCCCAGCTATTCCACTCCCTTCTAGCTTGTGGCCTGGGAAAGCAGTAGAGGGTGGCCCAAAGCCTTGGGACTCTGTACCCATGTGGGAGACCTGGACGAAGCTCCTGACCTGGGATCAGCTCAGCTCCAGCCATTTCATCTATTTGGGGGATGATCCATAGGACTGAAGATCTCTCTGTCTCTCCTTCTCTCTGTAAATCTGCCTTTCCAATAAAGATGAAATAATTTTTTAGAACTGCTTCTTTAAGTTGCTTGAGTCAATCTTTATATGAGAGATGGGAGTCAGGTTTCTTTATTCTGCATATAGATACCCAGTTTTCTCAGCATCGTTGTTGAAGAGGCTTTTCTTTGCCCAGTGTATGTTGGTAATATTTTTTGTGGTAAATCAGTTGGCTGTAAATATGTACTGTTTTCATGGGCCTTCTGTTCTATGCCAGTGAGCTCTTGTGTTGTCTATTTTTATGCCAATACCGTGCTATTTTAGTTATTATAGCTTTGTAATGTGTGTGTATGGTTGTAGATACACACATATATATTTTAATGATTGACTTATTTATTTCAAGAGTTAGAGGATCGTGAAGAGATCTTCCATCCTCTGGTTTATTACCCAGATAGGCGCAGTGGCAAGGGTTGAGCTAGGCCAGATTTAGGAGGTTTATTAGGGTCTCCCATGTGGCTGGCAGGGGCCCAACCACTTGTACTAGCTACTGTTTTTCCTAAGGCATTAGCAGGAAGCTGGATGGAGTTAGAGAGACCAGCACACAAACTGGTGCCCTTATAGGATGCCAGTATCACAGATGGTGGCTTTACTTGCTATGCCACAATACCAGCTCCTTCTTTGTATTATGTTTTGGAGTGCTATAATGTTCTTTTTGTTTACTTTTTTCCCCAAGATCTTTTATGATTTCACATACATTGTAAGAGTATTGTTTCCATTTTTTTTAAAATGTCATTGTTGTTTTAATAGGAATTACCTTGAATCTGTGGATTGTTTGTATAGTATGAACTTTTCACTGATGTTAGTTTTTACAATCCAGGAACTTGGAATAATGGCATTCTTAGATTTCTTTCATTAGTGTTACATTCATTGTAGTTATCATTTGCTTTCTTGGATAAGTATGTTCTTGGACATTTTGTTTGACTTTGCAGTTACTCTATGATTGCTTTCTTGATTTCTTTTGTGGCCATTTCACTATTGGTATGTAAATTGTATTTATCTTGTAACCATATTGAATTCGTTTATAAGTTCTATCTCCTCCCCACACACACCCCTGGAGTCTGTCTATATAGAGTCAGGTTATTTACAAACTTGACTTTCTTCTTTCCTGTTTGGATTTCCCTAATTCCATTCTGCTATATTGCTCTCACTGATTGTCTGTATATTTTGAAACAAGGTTTTAATTACCTTTTGTGTTACTTGAAAGACTCAGCCCTGAGGAGTTCCAGAATCTAGCAAAATAGACCATTTTGCCCTTATTTAGCCCAAAGAAGCAGCTGAGCAGTCCAGTCTGCTGAAGCCCTGGGAAACAGGTGGATAGTCCACCTGTCGGTCATCACCCCCCGAGAAGCAGCTAGGCAGCTACCCCTGAGCAGGTTGCTCCCCACAAGCCCTGAGGCTCTGACAGGTGCTCCCTCTGGGTTCTGTGCTGTGATATGCCATCAGACTATTGCTGGGCATGTTGGACTACACACATGTGGGCCCACTGCATGGTCTTATCCCCATGTACTATGTCTAGAACAGATAGTAAGTAAGCTTTGGCCTTCTGACAACTCCATCCTAGCTAGTGGTGCAGTCACACAACTCTTAACAGCCTAGGACACTTGAGATATATGCAGACCTCACAAAGGTTAGTTATCTGAACAAATTACACAGCCACTACACGAAAGCACCTAGCTGGCACAACAGCTAGTGAACTTACCTAACCAGTACTCTCAGACACATTACCAGGAGAAAGTTTTTTTTTTTTTAAAGATTTTTTTTTTATTATTATTTTTTTATTGGAAAGGTGGATATACAGAGAGGAGAGACAGAGAGGAAGATCTTCCGTCTGATTCACTCCCCAAGTGAACGCAACGGGCCGATACTATGCCAATCCGAAGCCAGGAGCCTCTTCCGGGTCTCCCACGCGGGTGCAGGTTCCCAAAGCTTTGGGCCGTCCTCTGCTGCTTTCCTGGGCCACAGGCAGGGAGCTGGAAGGGAAGTGGGGCTGCCGGGATTAGAACTGGCACCCATATGGGATCCCGGGCGTGCTAGGCGAGGACCTTTAACCACTTGCGCCACCGCGCCGGGCCCCAGGAGAAAGTTTTATACTAGAAAGTCACCCTGTAAAATGGGTGAGCCTATTTAGTGTAACATATGCACAAAAACAAATGTGATATCAAAAACATGAAAAACACGGGTAACATGGCATCTCCAAAGAAATACAAAAACTCTAGTAAC